TCAGAAACTTCCTATGTTTATCATAACTTTATACCAAAACAAAGTTTATGAGCTTATTGTTCTATGCGAAGATCAAAATCAATGCTTGTTTATTCTTCAGTTCAAATCGATTTTGTGCCTTGATTCGTTCACTAAGTCGATGAAAGAATCGATATACTTACCTGATAAAATTCACCGATATTAGCATTTATACTTTTGAATGAAGCATCAGCATTATCAACTCCATTTCGGAATAATTACTGCACAGATCTATCTCATAAAACAAATAACATGTTGAGCTCAATTGGAAGTCATCTTCCACTGAGTGTTTTGTTCATTCAATAAGGAGTTTCACATTCGAATGTTCCAATCCTAAATGAATAACTGCATAACAATTGGTATCAGTGGTTTAAGGTTCCTATTCAACCTTAATATTCATATTCGGGATATTGTAAGATAACACATAAAAAAGGATTCGGAGCTCTGCCAATGTAGTGAATGATTTTCCTTGTTGTATATGAAAAGTTCTGACAAAATTTCATATTCACTCGCCATTTTATAGGGTTGATATAGTTTGACTCTTATTAATATTAAAGGAGAATCATATGCTGTAAAGGGCCATATAGATCTATATTAAATCAACAATGTATTGATACATGTTTACAGATGCTTACAGAATAATATTCTGTAAGCATCTGAAGAAGTCGTTTGTAACGACGAAACGCGTCATGCTATGTAGTCAATAAAGTGTAAATCATAAGTTCAAGTGTTTGAATTTAAGTTTATATTCAATTATAATGGATTTACATCAAGTAAACGCCAACACTATTAAAGACTTTCTTTTATACTATGTAGTGATAAATTCTAAAGCTTATTATTCACACAATCAGTACCTGATGGAAATTCCGTAATGCTTCTCGTTATATACTTTTTTTTGTACAGAAACAAATATTTTGCATCTATATGGGGTTTGCTGAACCAAAATTTGTGAGACTCCGGAGGCGCTATAGCAAAATAAGCAGGAGAGAGGAATTAATCTATTCGTAAGTTTTCTAGAGTTCGAAGATTATTGACGGAACTTTGAAGTTGTATTATTCGGTTTCAACTTTATGCCAACGTTAGAATTTCCACAGAAGTGTTGTATACTGATACAAATCAGAATATGCCATGTCCCAAATTTCCTAATTCAATATTTTCTTTCGAGAGACGAGATAGTCAGAAATGCCTTTTTCTCAAGTTTGAACTTTTTATAACTCATGACAAAATGTTACATATTTGCGACATTACAATGATTTGAAGGTTTTTGAACTTCAATAATGCATCACAAAATGTTCATAGTATTTATTTCTTAATCCACTTTAATTTTCAGTTTTCTATAAGTTTTGTGCTAACCAAATGTATTCAACAAAAGAACAGTTATGTGATACTTTTTCCTAAGCATGAAACAGCTAAATTTGCGCATTCACTCTTTTATCAGAGTATTAAAATTTTCAACAATTCACCGCCAAATTTGAAATTACTGAAAGCTCATTTGTTTAAGAAGAGAGTAAAATCATTGATGTTAACAAAGGCATACTATAGTGTGGCTGAGTACATCGATGATTCGAATGTAGGCAATAAAATATGAATGAATTTTTTGTATCATATTTTTATTTTTTTACCACGAATGCCCCTCGTCATGTGCAACAGTCTGAAATGTTCAATATTCCTGAGGTAATTTTTTTTCCTTTTTTTTTAGTTGTATATTATAGCCAATATTCTTGTTTGAACCAATATTTTTTCTCGAGGACTGAATAGAAGATCAGACTCAAAACTGAATTCAGTTCTTTTGTGAGCATTATTCATAGTTGTAATTCTTGTATCAATTAAATGAATGTAATCTACATTGTAAGGAATGTTTCTCAATAAATTTTATTAATATTATTATTATTATTATTTTTATTATTATTAATATTATTATTATTTATTTATTCAACATACACTGTTTTACAGGACAGGTCCTAATTACAAAACAGGATACACAACATATACAAAAAACAAAATTGGTAGTACAAAATTTTCAATTTTGTACTTTCATTTTAAATGAAAGAGTTTGTGATATGAATCACAACTGATGAAATGAAATATTAGAATTAAAGGATTGAAAAAAACTTAAATGCTGACCAAACTTATGCATACATATAAATGCAAACACACAAATACATATACATTCATATATTAATACATATACACATAATTATATAAGTGAATATGAATTCTGTTCGTGAATACATATAAATGATTTTTCTAACTGAGATTATGAATATCAAGGAAGCTTGCCCCAAAATCAGTAACAGAACAGTTGAAAATATACACTTTATCTCCCAAAATATTACATTGTTCACACATCGTATATAATGGAGAAAATTTCAGAACATTCGTTCTAGCTGCTGAAAGGTAGAACGTTAATGCGCTCCTGGAATAAACTCTTGGAACAATAAAATTAAGCTTTTGCAATAATTCCTGACATTTCACGTTATTGTTAATTATTTCATGCAAAAAGATTATTGCATGGCATTTCCTTCGCGCACTGAGTGTGTCCACATTATGTCGACTTGTGAGCGTTTCATATTGTATGCCTATATTCCGTCAATTCTGAAGCTCAAAAATTTAACCAGGATTCCAGACTGTTGACCAGACTGTTGATCCGTATTTGAGTTTAGATCTTACGGAAAGGACAATACAATGTTTTCAGAGTTGATATATCGCTAAATTCCTTTCCAACGCAATAACCAAACCATATACTCTACAGGCAGCGGTAACTGTAGCAGTGATATGTGGCACGAAAACTAGTTGAGAATCAAAGGTTACTCCAAGGTCAATGAATATATTAGGTCCCAAAATATTATCACCAATTCCATAGTTGAAATTTATCAAATTATATTTTGTGAAGAACGACATAACATGACGTTTGGAGATGTTGAGGTTTAATTTGTTGAAATCACACCAATTTACAATATTACGCAAGTTTCTTGCAATGCGTTCACAGTCACCAATGCTGGAGACATAATGAAAAATCTTATAATCATCTGCGAACAATAAACCTTCAACATCAATTACATCGATTATTTATGAAAACTGTAAAAAGCAAAGGACCAAGTATGGAACCTTGGGGCACTCCAGATGAAGTACAGTATTCAATTAATGTATACCCACGGCTAAAAACGCGTTGCTTTCTGCCTATTAAGTACGATTCGAAAAGTTTGATGCCAAATTTTTTCACGTAGAACACCACAAATACTTTGCAGAGATTACAAATGATCTAGATGGGCCTAAAATTACAAATATCTGATTTATCGCCTTTCTTAAATACTGGACAAACATTTGATTGTTTCCACAATGAAGGAATCGTACACGATTTTATGCATATGTTGAACAACAACATAAGAGGACGGGCAAGAATATAGACATCTTTTAAAATAAAGGCAGGGATATCTTGAGGACCGGATTTTTTTAGGTTTAACTTTTTTAAGAGCCACCAAAATTTCATTTTCATTGAATTCGGATATATTTAATAATTGAGCCGATTTTATTATAAACGCAGTACATTTCAATCAGCTGAATAACACAACTGTTTACAGTTTTATAATTCAGTCCTCGTTCCTAAACAGGTAAATTATCAAGTAATTCAATTAATTTTCCTTAAAATTTCTTTGCCAAGTTGTTAGCCTAAACGTGCAATTCAAATGAGAACGGTTCGAAAATTAGCTAGAGGGTCTAATTAAAAACAATTATATATTGTGCAGATCGTGGAAAGGCGTCCATACGTTGTTACTTATCACTTTAAGGTCTGGCGATTTTGTTCATGAAGTGTTGCAAAGTTCCCATGTCTCGAATCTTCGCCGACCGCTCGCAGCGCCGTGCCGTCGGCAAAATTCTCAATTTAACTTTAAATGAAATATGAATGACAAATATGAACGAATATTTGTCCGATTTCAGAATCTCTCACGCCGAGAGGTATTTTTAGAGGTCTGATACTTTGGGCTTTTAATGGATCGAATAATGAAGTTTTCGCGGGTTATTAAATGTGACACAGACAGAAATTAACTAAACTTGAATTATATTCGTTTCAAAATCAAACGGAATTAAGTTTTTCTGTCGTCTATATAGGATATTCAGGTTTTTCAATGAGCTAGTTGACCAAAATTCGTGAATACCCTATATTTTCCAGTATTAACTAACAGTTACAACTCTTAGAGTTCTCGACACATGAGAAACCCAAAGAAACGAACAATTAAAGTAAAATACTTATGGAACAAAATATTCATGAATTAATAGAATTAGAACATAAGTGTCAAACTCTATAACTCGTTTAGAGATGGGTATAAATTGAAAAAGTGATTATTTATTAACTTTATATCTTCATGATGAAGTTTTTAACCTATTATATTTTCATCTTTTAGAAGAATGTGGATAGCATCTTTGTTCTTTAAATTACCTTATCGTTATTGTAGATTGAAATTATTGTTCTTTGTTGCCTTTAGTGGCTCGATTTGCTTGTTTTCAAAGCGAAAAGTATGTTAAGTGCTTTTATTTAGAATGACTGCCATATAACTTTTGCCTATCATTCTTTGTCTCGTTAACTATGGTTATGCATCCAAATTACTATCAAGTTATTACTGTGTTATTTTTGTCGTTTGTAAGATGGATTGATAAGTGTAGGTATATTCCACATTCTTGTTCTGACTGAATATTATACAATGATATTCAGTGAGAACAAACATTTTTCTTGTGGAAAATATTGTTTTTCGTCATAAATTCCAGTTCATTTTCATAAATTCACATTTCGATGCATGATATAGTTTAAATAGTTTTTTAAACAAGTTGAGTCATATCTTCTTCAATTCTACAAATAATTTTTTTAATTCATTGGATCTACAGTTTAACGCCGGTTCTTAAAGGCCAATGGGCTTCTTATCAGTGTTCACTACCGAACATTTGTCATCATTTTCAATTACTGGAATCATAAACACATACACCCTTGCCTTCACAGGGGCTCGAACCCGAATCCTGCCGCACCATAGTCGGGTGTTTTCTCGACTAAGCCACGGAGGCTGGTGAGAAATACTTTAATTTTAACACATAAATGAAATATCTCCCGAAGAAAATAACAGGTGCTCCAACACCTTATTTAAATGATTGTTTGAACTCACACTCGAAAATATTTTAATGTGAGAATGAATAATAATCATTAATTATTAAAATATAATCATTAATCGATTGTACCGGTACTTGATAAAAATCTGAATACATAATTCAAGTAAAACTAAGTCGTTTTCCGATTTCTCAGTTTATCATCTACATCTGATGAAGCTGTTGGGGTTCTTTAGGATGTATACCCAAACTCTGTTCAGTATGAACAATTTTATTTAATAACTATTTACAACAAAAAACATTTAAGTGCACTAATAATGTTTGTTGATTACAGTCATGTTGACTGCTTGGCGACTAGCACCGAAGTCGACGAGATCTTGTTGACTTCTTCTGAGGTTGCGTCCCGAGCATGCACAGTCGTCTTTTCTTCTTCTTCCTTGCTGTGACTTAGTCTATCGGTTGGTGCATCCAGTGGCAGGATGTGACTAGTCACCGCAAAGCCACTGAGTTGGCGAAACAATTTTGTTATGTTTTAAGTTAATTATAGTAAAAACCAGAAAACTACTTAGTTTTATTCAAATTGAAAATAGTATAAGATAACTCAAGTAGCCTTACGCGTTCAGTATCATGTATATATTATTGTCACAAGAAAAAGTTCCTTATTCCGATTATAATATTCCTGGTCAAGAGAGAAGTCCAAAAAGATCGATGTGATGTTCGAATGCAACTTCATTTTCTGGCTTGAAAGGCGCATTGTTTCTATAGAAAAACCTCTGACAGCCCCTGGCTAATCCTTTAACTTATTAAAACTTGAGTTTAAACAGTTTGTCGTGTCTTGCGGTCTCCTCTGCGGGAAGCTCTCGTGGTTCGAAAACTCTTTCAAATTAACTCACTTCAGCCAGCCGTCACTCTTTCAATATTCTTTTCTGGTCCCAAGGCGGGATTAACAAAAACATGCAAATTTATATTAAAAAGCGATAGAAAAGTTTCATCGCCGGATAACCTCATGATTGCGTTTCAGAAACATCGGCTGCATTATGAATCTCTCGAAAAAAAGGTTTTTCTTCAAGTTGTGCGACCTTGCCCCTTCCCGATAGTGCTTTTATCAGGTTTTTATAAGGGCGCAGATTGTGCACCGCTTTCCAAACTTTAAATTTACGCCAAAACATAGTTTCTCATGAAACATGTTCGAATATTTGAAGTTATTCGGGTGTTTTACACTTGATAAATCTTTGAGGGGGCTATTTTTTTGAAGTAATAAACTTTGATTGTTTCTGTTACATCACATAATGGATAATTTAAACTTGATCATATGTTTGAAATTACCAACTTGTTATCTAGATTTATTATAAGTATGTTTCATGACTGTGAACTGTTTAAAATTTCGTCAACCCAATATCCATATTGATAACCGTGAAAACTGATTAGTCATCGAATAAAATTATTGTCAATTTTGATAAGCCAAATATGTCGAACATCAAAATTTTGATTTCAAAAGAATACACAACATTGAGAGATATTTGTAACTTGGAGAATTCAAATCAGTTTGACTTTCATAAAACAACATTTACTTTAATTTGAGTGAAACTACGTAGTTTTGTAATTTTCACTATAACATATATTTCACTCAAACATGAATATTGTTTCAGCAACACAGTAGTATCATCAGATAGTGATGACAAACAAGTTTCTCATAAATTATAGTTAAAATTATAAAACTACTCAGTTTTATTCAAATTATGTTGTTGAATTTTCTCAAGGATCGCCTCAATCGATTAGTAAACACTTTTTAATTCGATAATGGTTCCACACTTCCAAAATTGGTTTCACTAAATTATGCTAATTCAGAGTGTATCTCATTGTTAAATGATTGATATTCCACCAGATAGATAAAAAAAGTTGAAAATCATTTTAAAAATTGTTCTGCTTCAAACGGTTTTATTGCAAACAAGAAGCGAATCAAAAATTAAAACAAATATTCGGTAGCTCCGATCAGTACACTCTCCTCATCAATCTGTATTATTGATCATAACAAAGAGATGAAATTATAGATCGCCTTAAATTTCAATCAACAGTCAATCGCTCCTATAATCAAAAATTTCATCAACATACTCAGGTTCTATACCCTACAATCCTTCTATTTCTTCTTCTGATCAATACGTTATGGTTATAAGGAAACTGGTTCGTTAACAGGTGCCAAAGGACCTATCGAATGATTTTGAGTTTTTAGTGCATTATCGACATCTTTGTTTTCAATAAATTCGTTAGACTTAATAAATAATCTTCACTTATTCTAGGTATATATTCCACGGTGATTTTTTAAGAGTCAAGTTTATCAGGTTGGCGGCACTGGTTGGTAATGGCATCCAAACGTCATCTGTCAAAGTGAAATGTTTTCAGTATACTCTGCATTTCATGATGGATAGACTTACAAACGACCAACGATTGCGAATTGTTGAAATATACTATCAAAATTTGTGAAAAATGAAAAAACGAAAAACTTTGTGAAAACTGTGTATCGTTTGTTACGACCATATTATGATCGTCATAATCGACCTGATGAATCAACAATTCGTGCTGTTATCACCAAATTTCGCACCAAGTTTACTTTAATGGACATTAAACAATTGTCTCGCATGCGTACAGTGCGTACTGAAGAGAATATTGCAACAGTAGCGTACAGAGTTAATGAGGATGGTGAATTGTCAATTCGTCACCGTTCTCAGCAATTGGGCATGTGTTACTCAACCATATGGAAAATTTTACGTGTTGATTTGGGTTGGAAAGCCTATGAAATTCAACGTCTGCAAGAATTGAAGCCGAATGACCTACCACAACGTCTAATTTTTTGTGAATGGGCTTAATAAAAATCCGCTGTTTTATCGAAGAATTGTGTTCAGCGATGATGAGGCTCATTTCTGGCTTTACTGATATGTAAATAAACGAAACTGTCTCATCTGGAGTGACGAACAGCCACATGCCATACAAAAATTACCGATGCATCCCGAAAAAACGACAGTTTGGTGTGGTTTATGGACTGGTGGCATCATCGGTCCATTTTTCATCAAAGATGACCGTAGAAGAAACGTTACCGTCAACGGCCAACGATATCGAGCCATGATACGCAACTTTTTTTCCCCAGCTGGCCGAGTTGAACTTGGCCGTGAAACAATGGACATGTTGAAGGATGAATTTGGTGAGCAGCATATCTCTCGAAATAGCCCTGCGAATTGGCCGCTAAGATCATGCGTTTTGACGCCTCTTGATTATTTCTTGTGGGGTTATGTGAAGTTGTCAGTGTATGTGGACAAGCCGAACACGATTGAAGCCTTACAGGATAACATAACACGCGTAATTCGTGGGATACAGGCCGAAATGCTCTAAAAAGTGTCGCAAAATTGGACCTTACGAATGGATCATTTGATACGGAGCCGCGGACAACATTTACATGAATTTATCTTCAAAATGTAAATGGCAAAGGCCAAGTTATTCATTTCTATAAAAATTTTTGAATATTTTATACAAATTGAGTGTTTTATTCGATTTTAAGAAAAACTACGCTTACAAAATCACCCATTGAATTGATTGAAAATTATTCATTGAAACGAAAGTGTACATGTTTGACACTGGTGAAGATCGTTATCAACTTTTGGAGGAAAGTCTTTCAGAATCGAAAGAATCGACTTTCTCATATTTCACACATTCTTCTCCAATTCATTAAATCTGCAATACTAGAGCAACGAAATGATATCCATCTGTACCTACTTCCGGGATAATTTCTCGTTGATATTCAGAGGTGCACGTTCAAATGAAAAATCGAACCATTATTTTGAATCGACCACTTAAATTTATTTGTTCGAAAGTTAGCACATAATCCAGTTTTTGGGTCAGTGCGCAGTTATTATCTGAGTAAATTTGAATATCCTCTGAGAGCTAATTTCAGGTTTCAAGAACATTGTTCTAACCAGGTGCAATAAAGACCTCATTTAACGCTTCAGTCGAACAGGGAAGTTTGCGGAAACACAAAAATAAAAAACTTTCGTAAGATAATAACTCTAAGTTATCGTTACTGTCGTTGCCATTCTATATTCCGTGATTTCAGTACGACCTGCTTGGTCTTTCATTATTACATGAAACGCAGCTGATGTCAAATTGTGATAATGGGAATTTGTTTCAGGAATTTCAGCTTTTCAACCGGAGTTTGCCGAGCCCATCGTCAATTTAACAGTTCCTGTTGGCAGAGACGCAACATTTCGCTGTCTTGTGCATCATTTAGGAGGATATAGGGTAATTATCAACACCTTTTTTCGAAATATTTTTATCTAATAAAACACTCATTTTGCATCATCTATTAAAAAGTTTTATTGAAATTGATAACTTGGCCTTTGCCATTCGCATTTTAATGATAACTTCATGTAAATGTTGTCCGCGGCTCCGTATCAAATAGTATATTGGGAAGGTCCAATTTTGCGACACTTTTTCGGCCTATTTATGTTATCCTGTAAGGCTTCAATCGTGTTCGGCTTGTCCACATACACTAACGACTTTACATAACCCCACAAGAAATAATCCAGAGGCGTTAAATCGCATGATCTTGGCGGCCAATTCACAAAGCCATTTCGAGAGATAAGCTGCTCACCAAATTCATCCATCAACATGTCCATCGTTTCACGAGCTGCGTGGCATGTGGCACCGTCTTGATGAAACCACATTTCAATCAAGTTCAACTCATTAGTTACTAAAAAATAGTAACTAATAACTACATTATAGCATTCAATGAAATAGGATTTGTAAATATCTGTTTCAAAGAACTGAATCTAAATCAATTCATTTTAATCAATTTACTTTGTTCACATAACTCCTGATAATAACTTCTATGGAGTCAAAGTGAATGTCACAATTATTGGCAAATCTATTGAAAGTAGACTCCATAAATCAAATGGGGGATTGTTGATAGGGAG